TAGCCCAGACAAACTCATAATCTGTTAAAGGTGTGCTTCCTTTAATGTGCTTTTATTCATCTCCAGCTCAACACTTTGCGGCACCAAATTCTGCTGCAGTTACAGGAGAAGAGTTTGTCTCATCCAACTTCACACAGACGTTCTTCTTCTCCAAGTAGCTCAGTCAGACTGGAGAATGTTTCCAACACACCTTACTGCTGTTGATTTGAGGATCCGCCAAATTGAAACGACAAGTCTTGCACATTATAACTGGGACTAGCCGGAGTTCCTCCCACTGTTCTGAGTGGGAAGTCTGACTTCCTTGAGCGCTCCAGCTGACTTTTCTGACTGGAAAGTCAAAATGTTTGAGCTTCGACTACAAACGGAACGGATAACGAATCAGTAAAACTATTGAAGTAAAGCTACTCTTAGTCTATGTTTGGACCCACATCTGCTTCGTTTCTGTTTCACTCCACAAATATGCAGCTCTTGGTGTTGGTCTGTCACACTAAATAACAATAAAAATCCATCAAAGTGAGAAAATGAAAACCAAAAAAACAAAGCAATGTGGACAAACTGTGAAACGATCCCATAATCACATTGTTTGATTGCTCACGCATTGACTTCTTCGCAGAAAAAGCCGTTCCAGGAGCTGACAATCCCCCTTTCTCATCCCCACAGACAGTTTTTTCTTCAGCACTGCTGATGCAAACCCAACATTTCTGCCTCTGCTTTAAAGTACCTAATTGCATCAGCAGAGTCCAGCAGTGGCTGCATGTTGCACTCGAGTTAGTTCAGTTTCGGAAACTGCAGCGCTAGATAAATGTTTAGCTCTTGTTATTAATATCATTTATAAAGCCAAGCAGGGAGTCAACGTTGCGGAGGCTTTAATTGTGTAGTTAAAACCCCCCAAAATGTTAGGAAGTACAGTGGCTGTAGAGACTGAGTGGGTAAAATGAAGAGCAGTGTATTATCAGGCTAGGGCTGAACAGGAACAGACCTGACCCGGGGCGCTGGAGTCACATACTGATGTCGCGTACTGCCTGTCCAACTCTGGCGCATTGTCATTCTGGTCCAGTGTCTCTATGGCAACCACAGCCCTCGACACAAGATTTGGGTTGTCTGGAAGGGAGACAAGAGAAGGGGGGGGGAAATGAACGCTAATGTTCAAGTTATTACAGAAAAATCCACCGTTTGCTCTCCACTGGGTGAAATACGAGTCGGTGTCGCCGCGGCGCTCCAGGTGCCCCGCGGCGGTACGGTCTGTCATACCCCTCTGTGTGGCGATGACTGAGATGTTATGCCACTGCTCCTGCTCACGGTCCAACTCTACCACGGCGCTGATGAAGCCCTTGTCGGAGGCGATGCGGAACAAAGCCTCGGGGTCCGACTGCGGATCGATGGAGTACCTAGGATACGGGACGAGGAACAGTCAGGAATCGCAGGCTAATGAGTGTGTGAGTGGTGTGTGCGTGTGTGCGTGTGTGTGTGTGTGTGAGCGACGGTGAGTCGGCCACCTGATGTTGCTGCTCTGTCCCGTGTCCGGGTCTACGGCGTGGACGCGGCCGACGGCGCAGACGGGGGGGCAGTTCTCGGACACGTCCAGGTGGTAGACGGCCTGGGAGAACCGCGGCGGCTCGTCGGCGTTGAGGATCATCACCCGGACCGTCGCCTGGTCCTTGAAGGGCCCTTTCCGTATGAACCGGGGGTCAACGACCGGGTTCGCCACTTCCACGGAAAACGTATACGAATTGCACATTTCGTAATCCAGAAGCTGTAAAAAAAAAGAAAAAAAAAAAGAAGAAAAAATGAGACGGCGAGTTATTTTTTGCTCTGGTTCTGATCCAGCCGAAGACTTCATCATTCACTTACGGTATTTTCCTCCATTCATTCTTTTCTTATGCGGCTCGGGTGATTTTTTTTTTCCCTGTCTAATTAATGACGAGCCTCATCTTGTCCTTCAATCTTTCTTCGATAATCTCACAGAATGTTGTCAAAAGCCCTAAAAGTCGAAATCCTGTTCTTTTAACAAGGCCTCACTTTCAATGAGTGAGACTCTGACCAGCTGATGTCCAGTTCATCCTCATCACTTCCTTCAGGACACCTGTGGGCTGACACTATCAGCAGAAGATGTTTAAAGTGTTGCTGATGCAATGGTTTAAAAAACTATTCAAACCCCTTCAGCTTTTTCCAGCTTCATCCTTTACAACTACAAACATTCGTGCATCTTATTGGGATTTTGTGTGTAAACCAACACAAAGTGGTGGGTAAAGAAAATATTACATGCTTTAGAAATATGTACAAAACTCCTCTGGGTCAACACTTTATTGAACCATCTTTCACTACCGCTACATTTGCGAGCTTTTTGGTGTATGTCTCCATCAGCCTCACACATCTACAGAGAGAAATTCAGGACATTTCTTCTTTGTGAATGAGCTCACGCTTCAACCTCGATTTTAAAGTCTTGCCACAAAGAATATAAGAATTTTAAGACATTTTAAAGATCATTACAGAGTTTAAGACCTGTGAAACAACAGAAATACACACACACAAAAAAAGCAAATAAATGAATTGTATGGGCTGGCAACAGAAAGGAGAAAATGGTTAAGACGAACATCGCCCAGCTAACTTGGCGATAAAGTTACACTTACCCATGATGTACGCAACAGCTACACAAAACCTTGTTAAGTAATTTTGGCCTTGTCTTCAGTGCAAATATCTTCGTACACTTGAAATAAAGCAAAACTAACCAACATGTGACTTTTCAACAATATGTAGAAGCTTGTTTCAACTAAATAATTCCCTGATGTTGATTAAAAGGTACTAACTCCATTGTCAGATTATTTCACAAGACATTTTTCCCATGTTACAAGTGAAAACTAGCTGGCTACTTAGATAGCACTGTAAAGCAAGAGCCTCTGTCATTTTTACAGTCTGGTTGGAGTCTTTTCTATTGAACACGACATTTTGCTTGGAGGCTCATAATTGGACTCATCATCTTCAGATGTCTGTAAAAGAAATTTGTCTTTTGCGTCCATTGTTTCATAAAGACCAGATTTGCAGAGCGGATGACTAACAGTTGTCCTGTTGACAGATTCCCTTCTGAGCTGTGCATCTCTGCAGCTCCTCCAGAGTCACCATGGGGCCTCTTGCCTGTGGACTGCCATGTCTGCCATACTATTTTCATTTGCTCACCGCAGAAATACAAAACTTTACTAAGAATTTTTGCTCTAGTTTCTGTTGCAGATATTCTCGGCGCTTTTAAGACTTGTTTTAAGCTAATAATTTCTTAATATTGGTAAATTATTTGACTTAAGACATGGAAAAAGGTTTATAAGTCAAATAATTTTCCAGTTGAACTAGTACTTTTAAAAAATCTATAATAAGGAATCATTTACTTGGTTTTATTTTCTAACATTTTAGCTTATCTTGCTGAAAAGCTACTAAGTTTGGGGACTTAATAAAATGTGTGCCACACATTTCTGCTTTGCATGCATAATTTTCTCCATATTTTTGCTCTAGTTTGTGTTGGTCTACAACAAAATACCACAATAAAACACCCAAAGCTCTGTGGTTACAGCTTCACAAACTGTGGAGAGGTCAGTGGGGTATGAATGACCCTTCCAGGGCACCATAAAAGCTCTTGGTGCCCGTTTTCCCGTGATAAACCTCAGCTGCTTCTCGCGCATTCAGCGTGCATGCGTCCGCATCGCCGCTCACCTTGTTCAGCACGATGACGGCCTCCCTGGCTCTGCTGGTGACGTTGAAAATGTCCGCACCCTCCGCGTCCAGGATGGTAAACTCCAGCTGTGCATTTTCTCCCAGGTCAGGGTCGGTGGCAGTGAGACGGCCCACCTCCACACCAGGTGCAGCCAGCTCCGACACAGAGAACGACCACGCACCTGCAGCGGAGGAGGGGGGGGGGTGGCATGGAGGAGGAGGAGGTCACAATGAATGGAGCGGTTTGAGAGCTGGCACTGAATGTTCATGAGGACGCTGTCTGGCTCCGTTTGGGGCTCAGAACAAAGCTGGCATTACGCTAATGCATGCAGCTGCTGCCCCTGCGCAGATTTCATGATGAAGTTTGGAGCATTGTTCGCTCTCCATCACGGCTCTCGCAGTATATCACAGGTCTGCTTGTGTTGCAGGAGCGATTGGTCGGTGCGACAATCGCAGTAAATCATTCGAGGAATAACATTTCGTCTCGAGGCGATGCTAATATAGGTAAACAGCACCTTGTTTCTGCGGGGGGAAAATGAATTATACAGAGCTGCTGTGGCTGCAGAGGAGGGGAGTAATCATGTTTATGAGGCAGTAATAAAAATTTAGAAAGTATTCACTTTAACCAAAATAATGAAACAAATGGAAAAAATAGGCTGCTATTTGTGATTTTTAATGTAGGTACATATATTAGAGTGTGTATATTAATAAAGTATTTTTTGTTCTTGAAGTAGATTTTTCAACAAACATGAAGCTTGAAGTCTCCAAATAAATGTTTTTCATTTCTGATAGGTGCTGTTGGTGGACTGTAAACGTTGTTCCTGCAGAAAACAGGATTTCTGGACATGAAATTGTTACAAAATGAAACAAATTAATCAGCTTAATCGTGACGAATCGACTAATGGAATAATCGTCAACTAATTTAGTCAATGATTAATTGAAGTATGCAGACTCAGAAAAAGGTCAGTGGTCAGTAAAATAACATATTTGGAGCATTAATTAAGCCAAACTTGTACAAAGAAATACATGAATTTTGCATTTAAGATTAAAAGAAAACTTCTGTGATCTACCCAGGCACAAAGTGGGAGTTTTAGCTTCAGCTGGTTCAAAAGTCCGGACAAACAAATCTATTAGTCACTGTTTGCCGTCCAGTTATTAATTAGTTAATCTAAAAAAAAATTATCTGCAGATTATACTTATTGTATTGACATAAAGTCAACTAACTTTTCAGATACTTGAAGAATATTTTAGCTACAAATAATAAGGTGTTTAATGAATAAATGCTAAGTTGTTGCATTTTAGGCTAAAAGTTTTTCATTTTCTTATTTAAAAAAGGAATTATCTAAATATTTTTAAATGCATTTCTTATATTGCACAAAAGAAGCACCAGTGGTTAAATGAAAACTCTGCATAATGTGCTGATGTTTGTCATTAGTTTAGTTTAATCGTTAGCTGCAGCCCTGCAGGTTTGTGCTGACGTCCACCAGAATGACCTTGAGTTTGATCACCAAGAGTCTAGACAATAAAACCCGGCTAAGCTGCCTCTACCCTGTTGATTGCTGTTCTAAGCGTTTTATGGTATACAAGACCTAATATATTTCTTTAATTTGTAACAACTGCAAAGAGATATTCAATAAAAAAAACAGAATTAAAGTTTAAGACAATAACAGCTTTGTGATAAATGGAGTGAGATGTGGAGCTATTAGTGTAATTTATTGATAATAAAAAGAAAAACGCTCCAGTCGGCGCAGGTTCTGACCCTCTTCGTCTTTTCGCTGCGAGATCATCAGATGTTGGTTTTTCACAGCTTCACAGGCCCGGTGTGTGGCATGGATGCATAAAAAACGTGTTAATTGTGTCTTAAAGCGAGAAAGCTTGCATCCTCGATACATTATGGTGCACAGAGATGCATGCAGACTCCAAGCATCATGGGAGTTTTCCTTTGAGCGTAATGTTCACACATAACACAGAGAACCAGAACGAAACACGGAGAAGCAGCATTCAGCTTCTACGCATCACAAATCTGGAACAAACTTCCAGAAAACTGCAAAACTTTTAAGTTTCTTTAAACTAGAAGCTAAAAACCCGGCTGGTCAGCGTTTGATTCACAATAACTGGATCAATGATCAATGTATCTGATGAATATTTGCTTCATAATTCTGATGTCATTTTTCAAATTGTATTGTTTGCTACTTGTTTCATAATTGGTATCTGTTGCTGAAACGTGTAGTAAATTTCATTTGACCTGAACAAACAGTTCCTGAAAACAGGAGTTTTTCATTTGTTAAAGCAATAATCTATATTTCAGTAAAATAAAAACCTCCAAGATTGTTTCATTTTGTTTTCCTAATTGGATTGTTTACATTCAGACGCCTGTAAGTTTTTAACACTCTGACCACAAACTGACTGGTAAATTTTACTGGGATTTTATGCGACAGATTGAAAAATGAAAAGATGGTTTTCAACATTTATAACGAATGAAGAAACTAAAAGGTGTGGCATGTGTTTGAGTTTGACACCTCTGAACCACATCCAGTTCAGCACCATCATCCAGCTGCTCTGTACGGAAGAAGATTAGTGCCACTGAGGAAAGAAAAAAAAAATTCTGACTTTTTTCCTCAAAGTCAGAATTGTTTAAATTGTTTATGCAACTTGGAACTCAAATTTGCCACATACATTCTGGATGAGCTTTCAGTGCGGATGAAGTGCAGGTTTACAAATCCTTTAACAAGGAAGAAACAGTTATGTGATTATTTCCCAAAAACATAATTAACATGCTATGCATGTTTGGGTATTTATTTGGATTTGGACATAAATAGTATCAGAACTCTTTAGTTAAAAGTCAGAATTCTGAGAAGAAGAAAAAAAAGTCTGAATTTAATTACATTTTTATGTTTTTAATCCTCTTTTGTAGCCCTGTGACAAAGGTGGGTGGAGGTTTAAACCAGGAGTAGGAGGAGCGTTAAGTATAAAAGCAGCCAAGAGGCCCATGGTGACTCTGGAGGAGGTGCAGGGGTCTCCGGCTCAGGTGAGACTACAGATGTGCGACTTGTCTGTTGATACGTTTCACAAATCTGGACTTCATGAAGGAGAGAGAAGGAAGGAAAGTAATAGGAAACTCATTTGCAATTTACCACTAGCCATGATGGAGGGACGTAGCAAAAACGTTAAAAAGCAGATCTTTAAAAAAACAAAACAAAAGAAAACTTTTATTTTTTGTTTCATTTTTTTTTTTTTAAAGCGTTTTTGCTTTGGGAAACAACGACCCTAAACATTCAGAGCAGCAATGGAGCGAGTTAACTCAAAGTACATCCAGCGCTGGAAACAGCCAAGTCAAAGTCCAGACATATCTAACCTGGAGTCTTAAACGGACGTTCTCAGATAATGTCCATCCAATCTAACCTCACTTGAGCTTGTTTGCTCTTTTGCTGTGCAGAGCAAAAATCACCAAAATTCACCAAAAACGTCTTCCAGCACAAAGCGGCTGCAGAGATTATTGACACATGGAGGCCGAGTACAAATGCTTGCCAGAATTTCCATTTGTATAACAATAAACAAATTCTCTTCATAATTACACTCTACTTTGTGTCAGGCCATCACTTAAACTCCCAGTAAAACTCACTGAAGCTGTAATGTGACAAAATGTGACGGATTTCAAGGGATTTAAATACTTTGCAGGGCTCTTTAAAAGCTATGTTCTATAATTTATGCCAGTTTCTGGTTTCTCCACAGTACTACTCTATCTGAACTCTTAAATCACTTTAAACATTTGAGCCATTCCGTTTGACTATTATTGTAATGATTTCTGATCTCCGTTCGGCGCGCCGTCTCTTAAAAAGCCCGGAGCTCCTCTGGGATGTTCGTCCTCAAACTCTGAAAAACTTCTGGTTTCAGACCAATTATCTTCAAACCTTCAGCATCGTTTCTGTGGTTCTGGTCAGGAAATGGAAACTGAACAGGCTAAGAATAACAGACATGAGGATGATGATCACTCTGTGTTAACATGGAGATGAATTTAAACTGAAGCTTGAAGTCGTAAATGTCAAACAGATGCAATGCTTAGTTTACATTTCTGCGACTGACAGTATGTATAAAAAAAGCTAAATTCTTTAATTATTAATGGATACCGACATTAAATTAACTTCATAAGGGAAGAACATCAAACAATGAGAGTTAAAACCACTGAATGTCAAAATGTTACGTTTTCAAATAAAGATTAACATTTACCAAAGGAAAAAAGTATGCAAACTAACTTTGTTCTATGTAAAAAAATATATATATAAATATATAAAGTTATTGGACTCTAAAGTTAATAACTGGTTGTATCACTGCAAAGATACTGCAGTGAGTCTTTTGCATCACTGCAGATGACTTTCAACCTACTTTTCATTGCAACAATGTTTCAATTTAGCTACACTCTTTGAAGTATGAAAAGCATGTGTTCATGCATGCCAATTGAATTTAGGTCTAGACTTTGACTAGGCCTCTCCAAAACCTTAATTTTGCTTCTTTTAAGCCAATCAGAGAGGCATTTGCTGGTGTTCTTCGATTTAGAGGTGTGATTCTGTATCGATCTGATTCCAGATAAATACAAGCTCCGTATCGCCAATACCGATACCGATACTTTTTACTATCCAAGTTTGATACATCAAACTTCATCATGTATGTTCATGGTTTTTCCTTTGAAGAATTTTGTTCAAACCTAAGGCAGAATTTGGACTAATTTTATAGGTGGCTACAAAATACTTTAATGACCAACCTCTATGATAAAAAGAAACAAAATGACTTTCTGTGGATTTTTTTCCTAAAATGCAAAATAATATATCATTTGAGAGCAAAATATTCTTTGCAGTAGAGTTGAGAGATTACATTACAAAGATAAAAACAAAACTGCAAAAGGAAATTTAAAAAAAACAAATTTTTTTTATAAAAATGGTTTTCATTTGTTATCAACTTCGTCTCATATGGTTATATTCGTTTTATTGATATTTATTAAGTCACATGGAGTAGCTTGTCAACGAATAAGCAATTTCCCTTTGGGGATCAATAAATTCTATTCTATCCTATTATTATAAATCTCCTTTTTATAGAAGAGTTTTGTTAATTTGTCTTTATTGCATTGCAATGTATTATATTTATATGAATTATATACTGGCTAACTATTATATGTCATGCATAGTCAATTTGAAATAAATGAACAAACACAAACTAAACCATGAATGTTATCACGCTGGAATTGATCCGATACCGATATTGACTTGGTATCGATATAATCGATATTGTTGGATCGATCCGCCCACCTCTGCTTCAGATCAGTGAACTGCACTGAAACCCAAAGGAAGCAGGTTTTCTTTTCTCCTTTGGGAATTTCTTCAATTACAGCAATGCCCGCACCATCACGCTACCACCGCCGTACCTTGACCAGACTGAAATTTAAATTCAGACTGACAATCAAAATTGAGAGTCTAATCTGACATTTTTAATGGGGAAACCTTTTAATTTTTTTCCCCCTGCATGCCAACCTAAATGTAGCTTTTACAGTATTTGGCACAAACACTGAAGCTTTTCAAACGGAGACCCGCAGCCTGACAGAGTTCATCTGTTCTGCTGTCACCTCTGCAGGCGCCGAGAGGCCAGCCAGCGACCGGCGGAGGATCGTGTCGTCTACCTGGCATCCCGTAATGAGCGCCGCTCGTTTTGATGCGGCACGGTAGCAAAAAATCCCGAGGAAAGACTTCACCTTAATCAAATCAGCGCTTCCTCCTCATAAACAGGCACATTAAACCGAAAAATAAATAAATAAATAAAAACACACCCTTCGCTTTCAAAGAGCATGCCAAATGAGCCATTCGCTAAAACTGTGGCATTATTGTCAAAGTGAAAATAACGCCCTGCAGTGAAGTGGGGATATATCATCAGATATCAGTAAATAAATAACATGCTGGTGCTGTCTGGAATTATAATATCGCTTCCATAAAACGCCTGTATTGCAGCACAATATATCAACATAAGGAAGAAAGAGAGAGGGGTGTGGGGGGCTTTAAACATTAAGATGAATGGCAGTGAGTGGAGACGGCGGGGAAAAGCATACAGGGATGAGGTAGTATATAAAGAAATGCATGGTTTTGCTGAAACTGTTGGACACATTCTGCAGTGATTTTGCTGTCTATTGAAGCAGAAAGCACTGAACTATAAGATGAAATATTAATAGCGGGGAACCGGGAAAAAGCTTTGATGGGAAAAAAAGGGACATGATCTTTCACTCTTCTGCATCAAGACGCAGTCCGTGTAAACTTTAGGGACCACTATGGGATGCTTACATAGAGTACCTCGCAAAGTAAAATTAAATAAAATAAAATAAAATAAAATAAAATGAAACATTACTCACACCCGACCACACACAACCTTTCCCCACATTTTGTCACGTTATAACCACAAACTTCTCCGTGTGTTATTGGGATTTTATGTGATGAACAGAGACAAGGAGCAAACATTTGTGTTGACACACACACAAAAAAACAAAACAAAATAAAAAACAAGGCATCAGGAAAACCAAAAAGTAAGGTGGGAATGTCGAAGAGAAACTCGTGGAGCAGATTAAAGCAGCGAACGTTCTGAGATTTAAAGATCAGAGTTCAATTCTTCATCAGAACGAGGGAAGAGCAGAAAAGAACCAACCGCAACCAACGTTTTGATCAAAACCAGTCGGATAACAGTTAGCCTTAAGATAAATAGGAGACACAGCAAACAAGTCGAACACGACGCTCTGGTCAGATGAGAGAGAAAAAAATGATGTCAATAAATATTATTTTATGGATATTATTAAAGGCAATTTTTATAGTCAAAGGAAACAGATGAAGCACAAAATTAAAGGGGCAGTGGTGTGTGTTTTCCAGCCATATAGAACTGTTTTATAGCACAATCAAGTAAAATTACCTTCAGTTATAAAAATATTGTATATGTCAAATATGACTTAGAAGAAATTTGACTTTGTAATTTAGCGGGTTAAAATTGGGCCTCTGTCTCAAAAAAAGTTGATTTTACATAATACTGTCCCTTTAAGGGACCTCAAAGAGTTAACAGAAGAAATAGTGTAGAAGCTGTGCTTCCAAACCAACAAGTGAAGCTTCAGATTGTAAGAGATCGCAGTGAAGGATCCCTTTAGCCCATTTATTTGGAGGAAGTCATGGAAGAAAACCTGCGAGGAGCAGCAAAACCCATGAAGCTGTGGGCGAGTTTCATCTTCCAGATTTACGACTCTAAAACATACAGCCAAAGCCACAGTGGAATGGTTCAGATCAAAGCACAATCATGTGCTGGAATGGCCTAGTCAAAGTCTAAATCTTAAAAGCTGCTGTCCACAGAGGCTCTACCATCCTCTTTAACTGCACTTCTCAGCAGGCCTGGAAACAAGTGAATGCCACACTTTTCAGTTCATATTCAAAATGCTGAAAATATATATATTTTTATTTTTATTTTTTTGCTGCCCGATCACATAAAACCCCATTAAAGTACATTCATATTTATGGTTATAATCTGACAAAGGGTTATCGATACTTTTGCGACTTCACTTCCTCTGCAGCTCACGCTATGCGAGAGCGAGTTTCCATAACAACGACTCGGTAAGAAACACTAAGCTCTCATCCTGAACCCAAATGAGGTGGAAAATATCCAAACTCTCTGTCATCGCAGGACGCTCTATCGTCCAGTGATCCTCATGCGCTCGTCGCTATGGCTACGATCAGAAGCCACTGCGGCTGACGTGGCAATCCGGTAAGGCGGTCGGTGCGCTCACTGCGTCTGAAGTGGGGCGGGTTGTCGTTGACGTCGCTCAGCTTCACAGTGACGGTCGTGGTCCCCGTCAGCCCACCCAGATGTCCGCCCATGTCTTTGGCCTGGAGGACCACCAGATATTCGTCCTGCGTCTCCCTGTCCATATCAGGTACGGCGGTCCGTAGGATGCCTGGTGGAGAGGGAAGCGGGGAGCACAACAAAAAAAAAAAAAAGAAAAAGAAGAATCACAACAGCTCCAGATTTCACAGTGACACGCCGTCTCCTCGCGTTAGCATCAAAGCGAGTCATACATTTTAAAACGAGGAGATTTCCGAACATGCGACTCCGGGCCACCTCTCTTTCCCTAAACTGACTCAGAGAGAGAAAGAGAGAGAGAGAGAAAGAGAGAGAGAGAAAAAAATCTAGTTTTCTGCCGAACATATGGTGGGAACGGATAAAACGTAACCATATGATGAGGATTAACTTTGTTAAGTGTTCCCATCAGCTGGAGAAACCGTTTATGAAACGGCGCTAATTGCTGCCGACGGTGAACAAACCTGTCTGAGGATCCACAGAGAACAAGTCCTGGCCCTGTAAAATCCCGTAGACCAGCCGGGCGCTGTTTCCGTACGTCGGGTCGTCGGCGTCTGTGGCCGTGACCCGGGTTATGGAAGTGCCTGCGAAACGCAAAAGGCAAGGCTCCAAATTAAAATCAGATTATTATTATTATTAGGTCCAAACTCTTTCCTTTTGCCTATTCAGTGGTTAAATCTGTTAGACCAAATGGGATAATGCAATTCCTCCTGCCTCCCTGTTGCTCACAAAATGTTCCGAATGTCATGCTTGGAGCGGTGTGTTTAGCCCAAGTGTGGAAAGAAAATGTGTCAAGTGAAAATTTGATTCTACAATCTGAAGCCAATTTCTTTATATTTAGCCTCAGCAGAACCAGATTTCCTTGTATTTACTGGCAGCGGGGTGATGATCAGCGGTTCCCTCTGGGCTTTCTGAAAGTTTTCTAAAGCTTGTCTTCGAACTTTGACAGCTTTCTTTCACTCTCTTTGAGCCCCGCTTGTTGCTTTAAAGGCCACTTAACACTGAAGAGTCATTCCGGCATAAAAAGGCAAAAAAAAAAAAAAAAGCCTCAGGGGATTAACCGGTGTTATTTTAAATTAGATCTTTGTTATTAACAGTCTGTCGCAAAGAAACTATTTCACTGGAAATGAAAAACATAGAATCTTACAAAGTAATTTTGGTCTGGTTTTGCTCTTAAAATGAGACAAAACCAACATACAAATATTTCAGCAAATATTAGTTTGTTTTATGCACATAATTCCTTAATGTCTAGTTGCACAGACAGATTTTTTTAAAATTTATAACAAGACATTTTCCCGTCTTATAAGTGAAATAATCTGCTGGTGGAACTTTTAGTTGGTTAGTTGTGTTAGTTTTAGTTCCATGCAGAAAACTAAATATAACTCTGAACTTATCACCGTGGTAACAAACTGTGAAGATAACCTGCTAGCTAGCTGGATGACGTCAAGCCGCACCGGCATCTTCTTTTTGTCCTTCCAGCAGTTGCCATGGTGAATTGATATGTCTGACACTTTTTACAAACTTAACTTGAGATTTCCTCAGAGTTAACTCAACTACCAGCCGTTCTGGACCGGAGATGTTAACCCGATCTGTCGCGAAAGACTCAGTTTGTTTGAACCTCGCTTTTCCCAAAAAACCTCCCTGATCAGATTCAAAATTACATAAGTTGTATTTAGGTCGCCAGGGGTTCGGCTTTCCATATTTGAGACAGAGTTTGATTTCAAAGCTTCCCCCTTGGTGGTATTATAAGTAAGTCTGCCTGGGAATCGTTTTTTTTTATTTTTTTAGCAGAGGTAGCAGGATGCAGCAATTCTGCAGGGAACATTGTTGGGGCTTGAAAATCACCGTGATGGAGCTCATCAGCCAGAGCAAATGGTTTTCAGAACAACTTCGCATGAAACGATCAGTCAAGATCTCCCATATCAAACCGAGCGATTCCACTCTGCGTCACTTTCCCTTACAAAAACCTCTTCTGTGAGTTTTAGAGTGACGGAAATTTTATGGAGTTCATGCGGTGCTCTTTCATCTGGCTCAAACGTTTTTCTTTTTTTTTTTTTTTTTTTTTTTTTTGCCGGAAAACTGAAACAGAAAAATTTGATTAAAAAGGAGAAAAACGCAGATGAAAGTTCTGTAGAGAGCTCAAATTTGGGACGGGAGCTGATTAAATAACGACTTACAACAAAACGAGTAGAACGATTAACCAGGACGTGCAGGTTCACACGTTCACCGACTTTGTAGAAAATGTTACCCTAAAACTTGCATCTTTCTGCCGAGGAAGCTTGTTCAGGCTAGAAGACTGCGATGACATGCTGCCGAAGTCAGGGACAAGGACAAAGAACGAGTTCATCAAATGAAAAGGCTTTGAGAAAACCCAACTAGTAACAGCAGACCTGTAATTAATATTGGCTTAAGAGACCAGAATAACATTTCTTTGAAGTAAAAGTTGATATTCAAGTTTTGCACAGAAAAGTTTAAACGCATGACTTCTTCTCCAGGCTATCTGAAAATCGACAACTGGTTTGATTTTGAGTCCACAGCTTAATCCTGGCTGAAATGCGCGAGCCGCTGTTGGACAGGCTGTGAGATAATCTTAGGCTCCTCAGATGAAATGTGTGATGAATGCTAATGCAGAGTCCGTGATCAGATGCAGCACCCTGCAGACTAATTGGCACCTCTGATAAAAAAAAAATAATCTGTTGGCCGTCTTAAAAGGAATTCACCTTTTATTGCAGCACTGAGGAAAATAAGAAAAATCATCAGGGTGAAAACCCTCATAATGGAGTAGCAAAGCCAAAAGTGTCACAATTGCCGGTAGGCGTAAATATTCCAATGAAATAAATGTAATTGGAGCTTAAAATTCAGGAATGTCTAGTTACTAATTCAAGACTTTCTGTTTCCTTGGTGTGAAAACATGACATGATGTTCTCCTCTTGTCGAAGCTCCTGATCAAGAAGGGATAGACAAGAGAACATGTCATTTAAGTAAGGCAGATGTGTGGAGATTTTAATTAGCCAGAATATCTACAAGAAAGCGGCTGGAGTCTAAATCTAAATGTTTACCACAACTGAAACGTCGACAAGCATGAGCGAATGTGGAGGAAAAGAAGATCATTATATCATCACAAGGTTTAGGGTGAATGTTAGCATCTGACCTGCAGCAGGAGCACATGTAGCCTCTAGGTATTGACCGAGTACTGATACTGGTATCGGTACCGGCACCAAGGCATTCTGAGGCTTTAGTTCCAGTTTCAAAACAGATCACATTTTATGTCATATCATCAAAGCCATTTTAATAATAAGACAATGACCTTTACAATGTCTGTAAGGGTCAGTGAGTAGTGCAGCGATCCCCCCTCCCCCACTTGTTGCAGCAAACTGGCTAAAACAAAGCACCTACACTTATTTGTTGTTTACAAGCTTTTGTGTTTTAAAGGAAAGCAATTAGGTCAGAACAGATAATCACTTAAACCACCTAACGCTACAGAATGAAACTTTTATTAGAATATATATATATGTGTGTGTGTGTGTGTGTGTGTGTGTGTGTGTGTGTGTGTTTACATATTTGTTAAAACTCTCACCTGTGCCAACTGCAGAAATACACAACTTGGGCAGAATCAACCAATCAGAGACAGATGGAGGGTTTTAGCGCTGTCAATCATGCTTGTGTAGTGCGGCTCACACACTTCCCTTTGCGCTCTGCTACTCTACAGCTTCTCCCCATCAGTTGAGGAGCTGCTATGAATGCTAATGCTAGTTAGCATAGCCGTCAATGACAGCGGATAAGCAGTTTTTCTGTAACGGCGAGTGGTTTCTCCCCATTAGCACATTTAACAGCGTTTATATGAGGGTGATTGACAGCGATAAGACTCTCCTCCTGTCTCTGATTGGTTGTTTTTGACTGGCACATTTTTGCAGATCGCTAAAGCAGCTCATGGAGGAGGTGGAGAAGATCGATTTTATAGATTAACTGTCTCATACTGTCACAACAGGGTGACAGTTTTAACAAATATGTAAACATCAGACATATTGTAGCTTTAAAGTTTATTTTGAGTAGCTGATCACTTCTTTGTTTACCGTTCACCACAGATCTCTAGCTCTTCTGATTTGGGCAGAAGTGACTAAAAATGATGACGTACTTCAGACGGTCTCAATCTTCCGCCACTACCAGAATCACGTTTCTTCCCCTCCGGCGCCGTACCTATGTTGGCCATCTCCGGCACCACGGCGACGTAGGGCTCGTCGGGGAAGATGGGCGGGTTGTCGTTGATGTCCTGCACCCGGATGATGAACTCGGAGGAGGGCTCCAGGGCCCGGCCCGTCTCCCTGTCAGTGGCTGTCGCCGTGAGCCGGTACTCATCCTTCTCCTCGCGGTCCAGGGCCTTGGTGACGTGGATGTTGCCCGTGTTGCCGTCGATGACAAACACAGAGCCGACTCCCTCCCCCTCCAGCATGTACTTGGTGCGCCCGTCCCCTCTGTCCATGTCGGTGTGCAGCTGGAGAACGAAACACAGACAGACGACAATCCCCAGCAGCACCTTGGGGGGGCGACACCGAGCACGGGCCGCTCGACGCAGGTATCACTCATCAACGCTCCTTGGCGGTCTGGTACGCGAAACGCCAGACTGCTGCAAAATGGGTGAGTCGTGTTGAGATGGAGGGTGGGGGTGTGGGGAGGATGTGAATCTGTGAATGTGAGAGGAAATAGCACCAGGTGTGGAACATACATATGGGACCAGGGGTGAGTACTGATGCATGCAGCTAATTAACTCACTGGACCAAACACGCCACTGGCGGAATCGTTGAGAGGGGAAAAAATAAATAAATAAATAAATAAAAAAATTAACGTTGATGCGGACAGTGGCCCTGCAAATGTCATATTACGTATAATCACAGTCATCCTGCAAAAGCAGCCACTATCCGTCTGTATAATCTTTCAGTCCTTTCCACCCATCTGCCTCTTCCCTGTCCTGCCTCTACATCCATCTGCCTCCACCCTTTAAACCACCTCTTTCTCTTGTTTCTCTGCTCCTTTCATCAAGTTACCTCGCTTACACAGATTGCCCATCTGCTCGCATTTCTTATTCTCTCCCCCTCACCCTCTTCTGTCTCTCTCTCTTCCTCTCAACTCTATTTTCTTGTCCCCTGTTTGTTTTTTTTTTATTATTTTGCTCCCTGGTGCAGAATTGTGGTTCAGCATTTAATGGCAGAGAGAGGATATTAGCGAGATAGATAGATAGGTAAAAGGCCAAACATACAGCAATAGGAGGCGAAAGAGATTACTCAGCCTTCATCACATCCAGGCTTCTGACCACAGACTCTTGCGTCTCTCCGTCCTCGAGGCATATCTGCACATGCTGATAATCCACAAAGCTCACTCGCAACCTCTGCTGCCGACCCCAGATACTCAAGAGGACTAAAGCTTTGACTTTAAGTTGCAGCCGCAGCGCAGCCTGTTTTGAAATGTGAGTGGCAAGTTTTGCATATATTTACTCAAGCCTTCTCTTTTTTATTATTATTATATTTTCAGCTAGAAGATGTGCTGGTGAACAAAAACAAATCTACCAGGGTAGAATTAGTGGATTCAAAGAACACAATCGGTGCATCATCACCAAAAACGACCACGCAGGCAAACTCTTACTCCTACGGAAAACCTACTAATAGATCAACCTGTTTGGTAATATCTAAAATGACTGACAAAAGTATTCCCATCCATTTCCCACGTTCGGTCATGTTGTGTCATTTACAGTTCATGTAAACACAATGTAGAGGCAAAACTGTGACCTGAGGAAGGGAAACGGATTTTCTAATGTCTTTACATTTATGTCACATTTATTCTCGGGATACATGGATAAATCGGCATCGATTTCCTTAAGTTTGGGAGATATGCGATCGGCCGATAATTACATGTGAAGATGATATCATCTACCTCAGCAAAGGCATAAAAATCAGCTGCTGTTCTCTTCTGCTGCGCTGTGAGAGCGGTTCGGCTGACGGGCCACCAGATCATGTCTGCAATAGTCGCTCCACTGTTGCCAACTCAGCAACTTTATTTGCATATTTTGCAACATTTCAGGAAAAAAACAAACAAAAAAAAGGGATTGGGGATCGGCCAGAAAACTGCAATCTGTTCACCCCTAGTTTATTCATCCGAGTCGATACTTTGTAGAACCACTTAGGGCGGGGGCGTCAAACTCATCTTCATTTTGGGCCACAAAGAGAACACAAATGTCTCCAAATGTCCAGTTGGGGCAGAATGTGCCGATCAAACTTCCTGTTAAACTTAGATTCTAAATAAATAGCTGCCTCTGCAGTAGATGAGTCGGTAAAATTAAATAATGTGGAAGCTCTTTTCACATTGATGCAATTTGGCAGCATACAAATAAAACCTGCTGTGATATAATTGATAAAAAAATTAGGGACATAATTATCTTCCCCAAAATCAATCAAATTTGGTGTCAAACGTTTGCGCAACTAAAATTTTCATTTGTGCTTCGATCATTTCGAAGATGTTAATAAAAATAGTTTCCAGAGATCACAGATGTCAAAGGTCAACCAAAGCCTCCATATTTACAAAATCAAACAAAAATTAGAGGACAAAATGCACAAACCAGCACATTTGTAACACAATTAATTGATTTGCTCATGTGGGTAGTGGAGGGCAGGTTGATCGCTGATGACTTCTAAAAACCTTCTATTAAAATCTTAATAAAGATAACGACACAAACAAAAGTTTTTGGTGCACAAAGCAGTAGAAACATTTGACACCAATTTTGTTTAAGAATGTTCTGGACTTTATTTTAGGGGTATCAGGCTAAAAAGGGTTGTGCACAAAGGCAATCCCAATTTTAAAAAAAATTGTTTTCATGAAATATTTTTGAAAACCTCGTATACTTATTAGTTACAATAACTAGTTTTGCTGGGCGACAAATTGCCCCATTAATTATTGCTGTGAACGATAATGTTGTCATTTTGAGATAATTTTCAAGTGATACATCGATAGCAATGCAAGTTGCCCCTCTCAAAGACTAATAAAGGAACATTTCTGGATATTTTAAATATCCCAAATAAAACAATCAAAAATAGAGAATAAAGCAAAAATAAAACCGTATATTAAATGGATTATGACGTGTCATAAAACATATTAATCGTCAGAATGGAAATTATTGAGCTCATTTTCAGTTTATTACGCGATTAATTGCGTATTGTGACAGGTTTGCCTATATCCTGCCTTCCACTTAATAATTATGAATTACTTTGTCAGAACCTACTGCACACCATCCTAATAAAACACATCAAGTTTGTGGTTAGGACAAAAAGTGAAACAAGCGGTCTGAAGACTTCTTCGTGGCAGGTTGTGCTCACTGAACATGAAGCGTGCATTCTTCAGAGGGCAAACAAACTGCGTGTGTAGGTTTGATGGGGCTGAGCGCAGGGATTATATACACTCCTAACGCTACATACGCACAACAAACGGCAAGATAAAGTGCTGCTTTCTTTATCCATCCCTGCACCCACATCCTCTGCATCCTTTCTGCCTTAAAACTAGCTTTGATCCCACTCTTCTCCACCAGAGACATCTTTGTCGAAGCCTCGCTCCCCCCCCCCCTTTCCCCCAAACCCCACCCCCCCCCTCCAAACCAAACCTCCTCTCTCCTCACTGTCTAATTGCTGGTTCAGTCCCGCTGCGCTTCAGTCAGCATGGAAAGACACTCTCGCGGCGGGGAGGAAATTTATCCGTCCCAGTCCAAACAAAGCGAGGAAAAGGAGGATACCTTCTTATGTCACTTTGTAACCCCCACCCTCCTTCGTCCCTCCCTCCCCAGTCGACTGGTGTCGGTGTGCCGCATCCACCTCCGGGTTTATTTCTGCCCCCGGGAGACGAACTCTTTTCACCCAGGTTGAGGCACCTGCGATTTTAGCTGCTGATAACTCTCCTCACATCTTCCGTCTATTTCTGGCAAAACAAAGTGAGCCGCTTTAGCGAAGGGGAAACCTCGCGCTTTCAATTCCTCCACAGCAGCAGCAGCATTTTATTACATGAATATTAAAAATGAAGACAAAAGGCATGAGCAGCCTCGCGTTGCCACCAATCGCCCCGGCGCCCCTCCCCGCCTGTATCAATAACAATCAGAGAGGGAAATTAAACATTTATGAGGCGTATACGGCCCTGGTGAGGATCCAATCTCTACTGTCACTGCATGGTTTACTGGGAGCTCCAAAGTGTTTGGCGGCGGTCCCTGTTAGCGTTGCGGCTGATGGAGGCCTGCTCCGAGTGTCGTCAGGCTGCCAGGAGCCGCATTAGAGAAGAGGTCCTCACTGTGAAATAATGCAGGCCGACCCCAGGGGGCCGCACGGTTCACGTGCGTTCTGAGCTAAATCATCTCCACCGCTGATGGCAGATGAAGGCTGCCGGTGCTGGCTATCGTCGAAGCTCAAGTGTGGGATACAACAAGTGGAGGTGGAGTGGGGGGAGAGGGGCACAGCTGCTCAGATGTAAGATCTGAGCTACATTTCAGCAGCTAACAGGACCTAAGAGACACACAAGATGCTATTTGGCCTTCTTTTTTTTTTTCTTTTGCTAGCGTTCATATTGCCGATTTGGATAGAAAGCATTCCAGAGGATAGACATGTCAAAATAACTGGAGGCAGAGATTTGCTTCGCCGCCTGTTTTATGTGGCCTGCAATTCAACTGAACCAGAAAATGTGACTTTCAGTATGGATGCTGAGAGGAATGCAGTCAGGGACGAGTAAACATGTATGGTCATCGTTTTGGTTTTATCAGATGGCTTCAGAGTACTGCTGTGAAATTTATTGTATCATTTATCACTTATCGTGATAAATTTATCCAAATTCCAAATAGTGGTGTTTAGAAGCCCCTAAAACTGTCCGTATTTTCAGGATTGCTTTATTTTTATTTTTTTTTAGTATTTGTCTTCACCGTTTGTTCAATCAACATGTATCAATAAATTCAAAAATGTGAATAAACGCGGCTACACTGTTAGGGATACAAAATATTTATGTGTCCCTTTATGTGGCTGGTGTCCTATGGAAGCGTATTTCAAATTACGCTTGTTATTCAAATTAGTTTGTGTTTGAAGAGCAGTATTTGTGTTTGTGAGGCTATGACTGCTGTGCCACACAGTTACCTAAAAACCGAGTAATAAACAATAAATAGTTATTGTCACTTTTATTGTTATCATCATAGCACCGCAAAATATCGTGATAAAACTTGAAGTCCATATTTCCCACCTCTATTTTAGTGGCTTTGTAGTAGGAAAACGTCTGATTATCATTAAAAATTAAAGAGCATTAAAGTGCTCTTCCTGACTCTTTTCATCCTCCTTTCTGCTCACAATGTTCTCATAACTTTCATCAGGTTTTCATCCAGGATTGTCCATCCATCCTCTTACCAACAGTGAAACGTTTCCTGACCAGGTTTCTTTCAGTGTTGGCCTTCGTCTGTGTAGATGTTATTTTACACGCAGGTGGACT